CCTCGCTCAGCCAGTGAGCAGGAACCAGTCTGTATGTGGGATCCAAACCCTCAGTGGGAGCGCCGCCATGCTCACAAGCGGCACACTGTAGCAGTGCGCCACCGGGCCGGCCCGCTTTTTCAATGTTTTAAATTGCCTTGCCACACCTAACTCAACAGCAATTTTTTAAAAAGCTACTTGCCTTTACTGAAATTCTCCAAAGTATTCAAATTTGTTTTCATAGAAACAGGAAATACTTTTTTTTATGTTCATATATTCAAAGTTGTGAACTATAGTAACAAGTATAACAGGCAAAAATATTTGGGAAGAAACACGAATAACTCCTGGTAAACGTCTGCCTCAACTAATTAGAGAAGCGTGAGAGTGCAGTAAAGATAGCCCACCCGTCTATGCAGTCAGCTTGCCATGGGCATCAGTCAGTGTGCTTTTCAGAAATACAGAGCACCGGCTAATGTGTGCCTCAGTGAGGGGAGTGTGGTTAAGAGGTCTTCCACTGCAATGAGGGATTTCGGTCAGGTACACAAATGCTGATTGATTGCTTACTCTTTATTGGACACTGGATTTGGCATTGGAGATACAAAAAACAACTAAGATGTGCTCTCTACTCTCTGAGATCCCACAGACTAGGGGGGTAGCAGACAAGACCCAACTAAAAGTTAGGCAGTGTCTTGGGACGGTGGGTGCTATGGGAGAGTCAGGCACGGGAAGTGCATTTAGACAACTGTGAGTCCTCAGGTAGGGTGCCTTGGGAGACAGATCCTCCAAGCTGAATTTGAAAGGGTGAGTAGGGGTCAGTCATAGAATAAGGAGTGTAGGGGGAGGTAAGAGGGGGGCAGAGTGAGGTACCAGAGTGAACAGGCTCCTCTCCTGCTATTCCCTTTCCCACCACCACCATCTGCTTCCTTTCTTGCCTTCTACAAACTATTCTTTGTACAGCAACCAGAGCCACCTTTTAAAAAATGTAAGCAAGATTATGTCACTCTCCTGCCTAAAATGTTCCAGTGGCTTCCCATTGCCCCTGGGATAAAGTTCAAATCTCCTCCCATTACCTAAAATGCTCTACGCAAGCTGAACCCACTACATCTCAGGCTCACTTCTTGTCAGAACAGAAGAAGAAAGATCAAGACAGCACTTAGCCCTTGAGGTCGTCAGAGGTGAGACTGCTGCAGAGCCAAGATGGGTAGAGGAGGCAGAATGAGGTGAATGAGGGGTTTGTGGTGAAGAAGTACACTGTAGGGAGCACTTAGCGTACTATCTGACGTGTGGTAGGTGCTCAGTATCTACCTATGGATGAATTATGGCTGAATGAATGAGGTCACAACCTGGCCCAGAACTGGACATGCCTTTTTAAGGCCAGAAATAGTTCTGGGCCTGGTGCCCTACCTGGTAAATGTTTTCATCTTCTCCTTGCTTATTTCCTCTTTATCACTTCTTTTTTAGATTTAACGACTTGGTGAGTTCAGCTCACCTGCTGCAGCTCAACCGGGCATACAACGAGAATGACATCATCCTCATGAGGTCCAAAGTTAACATTATCCTCAAGCTCTTCCTGAATTCTGACATTCCTCCAAAGCTGAGGGTAAGGGGGACTCCCGCTCTGGCTTTTTGCCAAGAAGTATGTCCCCACAAGGACCCTGGAAGCTAACGGTCAGATGCCTCCTAAGTCCTGGGACAACTAGATGTTCTTTACCTAACGACTCCATGAAAAGCTTCTGCCTTTTGGAGATGGGGTCGTCTTGAGGGTCTGGGGAGCAAGAGAGGTTTTCCACCTTGCCTGGAGTCTCTGCCAGTAACAAGTTCCCACTCTGGGGCAGGTGAATATCTCTGAGTCCCAGAAGGACGCCATCCTTGCTGCCATCACCGAGGGCCACCTAGATCAGAACATCTTCCATGGGGCTGTCATGTCTCTCTTCCCCATCATTATGTACTTCTGGAAAAGGTAACTATCCCCCTCTACCCAACAACCTCCAGGTCAGGAAAACATGTTGAGCTTTGTTTGCAGAGTTTTCTGTCTTTCTCTAGCCCTCTGTTTCGTAGTTTCCAGTTTCATGGGGAAACTAAGATCGTGTTTTCTTAACCTACTCACCGCACTCTGCTCCTCACGTTGCACACTGCATCAGAGGGGGGAAGGCAGAGTGAGACTGGGAACTAGAATGCCTGGTTTCCCACCTCTCCTCTTCCTGTGTTTGTTTGGCACAAGGGTGTGAGGGTTTCTTAGGCCTAGTTTTCTCACCTAAGGGTGAAGTTTTCTTAGACCACAGCTACTTGGGGAGGAATTCTGTCAAGGCCAACATGACCGCTTGTGCTTAAGGAACCTCATGGAGAGAGAAAACCAGAAGCTTTCCACTCTGCTATGCCCAAGTCCCTGTGATTACCACTGAGGGGACACAATTGCTAGATATTCCATTTTTCAAGAGGAGCCAGAAATAGGTGAGGAACCAAAAATTTGGGGGTTTGGCCTGTGAAGGCCAAAAACGAAAGTGAAACAAACAATATATCTGCAGCCCAAATGCAGCCCATGGCCCACTGGCTCCTAACCTGTCAAGGTCTGGGCTGAGAGACTTGCCTAAGTTCTCCCAGCTGGTTGTTTACTCCTGTGGTCTAACCTATCTCCAGTTCATATCTTCCACATGGGGAATGACAGGGCTTGGGTGGCAGAGGCCAGAGGACAACTGGCTGAAATGTTTCCAGACAAGGCTGATTGGGATGCTTAGATTATTATGTGATTCCAGCTCCTAGGGTCCCCACTCCCCAATACACACACAAAAAATGTTATTTTATTAAAATAGAAGTGTAAAAGTTGCCTATCACCAACCTTTATTTTTAAATCCCTAAGATAAAAAAATTATTCAATACAGAATTGAAATACCAAAATCTGAGTTCAAGATAAGTAATTTAGTCTTTGAATACCAATTGTTATCTAGCACTTAATTTTAGTTCTGCTAACCAGAACCAAAGAGAAATTTATCCTGAGACTTTTGGGGGATCAGGAAGCTCTGAGAAATACAAGTATGTGCTTCTCCTGGCTTGAGTCAGTGCTCAGCTGTCTCCAAATATCTTTAGGAAGATTAGGGGTGATTTAGTGAGGTTTTGAATCCCTGATCCTCATGCAGTTGTTTCTTTACTAGTTTTCCTATGTAATTACAAAGAGATTTGTATTATGCAAATTGTGTTCACATATATTATCTCAAATGAACCTCTCAGCTAGCCTATGCAATGGCTGGGGCAAAGTACTATTATCTCTGTTTTACTGATGAGGAGAATGAGGTTCAGAGTGGTTAGGGGACTTGCCTAGGATCCCCTGGTAAGTGATAAAACCAGGATTAGAAACCAGGTCTCTTGGTCTCTTACCACCATAAACAATGCATCAGTGGCATATTGGGAGATCTCCAAGGGGAGAGAGACCCAGTTCACGAAATGGAAGGAGAGAAAGCAGCTGTGATAGAGTAACTGCCCTTGGGGCAGGGGAGGGGAGGAGAACAGCAGGCAAAAGCACCAGAGCCAAGGTAGCATAGGAAATAAATCCAGTCTTAGCCAAGACTGCCCTCCAAGGGGTCCAGTCCAAGTGCTGGCTGAGGACAGGGATAATGAGGGGTCACAGGGCCAGGGAGCAAGAGACGGCGAGTGAAGTCTTCTAGGGAGCAACAGTTCTCAGGTCACAGTGAGTGCATGAGTCTGAGTTCACATGAGGAACCAGGGTCTATTCCAGGGAAAGGTGTTAGAATAAGGTGAGGGGATCAAGGTTCTCAGTAAGGGGCAGGATGGAAACCAGGGACCAGGACCCGAGAGGAGGCCAGTCAGATGCCCTGGCTGCCCCAGGTGGAGTTAGAGAGGGATCTCACTGTCTGATGCTCAAGCGAGCACCCCAAGGCTTAACCCCACCCCAGGTCTGGGGTTGGCAGATCCTTTACAGACTCCCTTCACTAGTAGTTCCAGAAGGAAGTCCCAACATACTGTTCATGCCAGGCCCTTGCTGGAGCCAAACCTGGACAAAGAGGAGGCCTCCGAAGAAGAGCCTTTGATGGGCAGCACTCCAAGCCAAGATGCTCTCCCCTCCTCTGCTGGACACCCCACACTCTCTGCAGTACTGGTCCCAACCAGGTTGCCCTGTACTCATTGTTCCAGCCCCTTACCCTGTGACCAGAAGCTGTTCTTCTCACAGGTTTTGCTCCTGGAAGGCAATCCGCGGTTACTTACAGTACAGGGGGAAGAAGTTCAAGGACAGAAAAAGCCCTCCTAAGCCTGCCTACAAGTACCCTCCCTGCAGTGGAGGTAAGCTCCACCATGACCCACAGCCCCATTCTCTAGCAACCGGGACTTGCAAGGAGAAAGCGAGGGAGGGGCCGACTGTGAGAGTTCACTGGGGTGTTTGCTGGAGAGGAGGAGCTCTCATTAACTTGGCCTCGGGGAAGGGGAGCACTCAGCGTGGGGTGTGTTTTGTCTGTGGCTAGCAGTGCTAGCAGGAGGGTGCCCACCCCTGAACTGCTCCCCGCGGTAGCCACATCTGCATGCTGCATACGAGGAGGTGGTGATCTGCTTTACTGCTAATTAAGAAGCTCCCTGCTCCAGCTGTCTCCCTTAAACCCTGCCATTGAAAAGCATTTATTTTATAGTGTTAAGTGAGAATGTAATAAAAAACTGGATATAGAGTATAGTTTTAATATGATGAATACATACATCTTTATACATATATAATTTTTATAAAACTATGGGAAAAATTAGAAATAAAGATAAAAGCATTAATAGGGTTATCTCTGGCTGATGTGATTATGAGGGATTTACATATTTATTATTAATATATATTGTTTACATATCATACAATTGTATATTACTAATATATTTATATAAAAATATAAATAAGTAAATATGTGTGTATTAGTATATATATATGTGTGTGGGTACGTGTGTGTGTGCATATGTACATGCTTTTTTAGCACAAAGTCTTTAAACCCAGTCCCCTTTCCAATGCTAAAATACCGCTATGATTGGTACTTTAACAGAAGAATTTAACGAGGAGGAGGAGGGTGGACAGGGCAGTTCCTGGAGANCTGCCCCAGGTGGAGTTAGAGAGGGATCTCACTGTCTGATGCTCAAGCGAGCACCCCAAGGCTTAACCCCACCCCAGGTCTGGGGTTGGCAGATCCTTTACAGACTCCCTTCACTAGTAGTTCCAGAAGGAAGTCCCAACATACTGTTCATGCCAGGCCCTTGCTGGAGCCAAACCTGGACAAAGAGGAGGCCTCCGAAGAAGAGCCTTTGATGGGCAGCACTCCAAGCCAAGATGCTCTCCCCTCCTCTGCTGGACACCCCACACTCTCTGCAGTACTGGTCCCAACCAGGTTGCCCTGTACTCATTGTTCCAGCCCCTTACCCTGTGACCAGAAGCTGTTCTTCTCACAGGTTTTGCTCCTGGAAGGCAATCCGCGGTTACTTACAGTACAGGGGGAAGAAGTTCAAGGACAGAAAAAGCCCTCCTAAGCCTGCCTACAAGTACCCTCCCTGCAGTGGAGGTAAGCTCCACCATGACCCACAGCCCCATTCTCTAGCAACCGGGACTTGCAAGGAGAAAGCGAGGGAGGGGCCGACTGTGAGAGTTCACTGGGGTGTTTGCTGGAGAGGAGGAGCTCTCATTAACTTGGCCTCGGGGAAGGGGAGCACTCAGCGTGGGGTGTGTTTTGTCTGTGGCTAGCAGTGCTAGCAGGAGGGTGCCCACCCCTGAACTGCTCCCCGCGGTAGCCACATCTGCATGCTGCATACGAGGAGGTGGTGATCTGCTTTACTGCTAATTAAGAAGCTCCCTGCTCCAGCTGTCTCCCTTAAACCCTGCCATTGAAAAGCATTTATTTTATAGTGTTAAGTGAGAATGTAATAAAAAACTGGATATAGAGTATAGTTTTAATATGATGAATACATACATCTTTATACATATATAATTTTTATAAAACTATGGGAAAAATTAGAAATAAAGATAAAAGCATTAATAGGGTTATCTCTGGCTGATGTGATTATGAGGGATTTACATATTTATTATTAATATATATTGTTTACATATCATACAATTGTATATTACTAATATATTTATATAAAAATATAAATAAGTAAATATGTGTGTATTAGTATATATATGTGTGTGGGTACGTGTGTGTGTGCATATGTACATGCTTTTTTAGCACGAAGTCCTTAAACCCAGTCCCCTTTCCAATGCTAAAATACAGCTATGGTTGGTACTTTAACAGAAGAATTTAACGAGGAGGAGGAGGGTGGACAGGGCAGTTCCTGGAGAATGTGTGTGGGTACGTGTGTGTGTGCATATGTACATGCTTTTTTAGCACAAAGTCTTTAAACCCAGTCCCCTTTCCAATGCTAAAATACCGCTATGATTGGTACTTTAACAGAAGAATTTAACGAGGAGGAGGAGGGTGGACAGGGCAGTTCCTGGAGAGGACAAGGCTGGGTGTCTCTCAGTGGAAAGTTCTGGAAACCAAAGAGAACAGGTCTGTGAATCTGGGGACAGGACCAGCATCAGAACAAAAGATGGACATAGAACAGGAGTATTAAAAATAGCAACTAACTGCCCCATGATGGAACTGAACATTCTCAATTCAGCTCAAACCTGCTTGATTCTCATGTCCATTTTCCCAGCTCTCACCCACAAGCACCCCACCCTCTTGGAGTGCAAGGAAGAGCCTCTGAGATCTAAATCCCTCTGAACTGTCAGGGAAGCCATTCTGGCTGGCTGCAGAGCCCGACTCCAGCCCCTGTGAGAGGATCCTCACCTCCCTGGCGGCAGCCGTCCTGATGATCCACGAACATGACAGTATCCTTGTGTCTGCCTTGCAAAATGTCACATGAGCAGATAGAAATCAGTACTCTCTTCAGTACATGGAGGAAAATGTCCCTGTGGGTGGAGGGCTTATGTAAGGTGGGGATGGAGATGGAGGAAGAGGAAGAGACAGTAAGAGAAAGAGGAGAGGGAGGCAGGGAGGCAGGACAAGCAAACGATACTCATTCAGAGGAGCTCCTAGCCTCTGGCTTATTTCCTACAGCTGAGCTCCAGGGAGGTAAATGCCCAAATCTTTCCTGGTGTCAAAAGGACGAAGAGGGTAGCAGGATGTCCTGAATGAAGGGACCAGGGTTCCAGACCTGGACAGTCTTTAAGTATGAGCTGAGGGACCTTGAGTATGTGGCTTCCCTCTCTCAGCCTCAGATCCCCAATCCCAGATACAAGGGTTTGGGTTTAGATAATGTTCCATCATGAACATCCTGTAACATAAGGAATGTCAGACAAGAACCTTCTTGCTTACTTAGATTTATTTTTTTCAGATTTTTTTTCCACCGCCATGCATGCCATTTTTTTCAGATTTTTGTCAGGCATCGTTATGTAGGTTTTTATTGCTCTCTCTTCTCCCTTCCCCAGGGGACCACGGTGTCTTAAGGTTCACCTTACTTGGAGGTGTTGAGTGGCTGCGGCCTCAGCAGTGGGAAGTAGCATCCAGTCCAGTCCAAAATTGTGAGTTGGAGTTAAAACCCCACGATAATAAAAGTCTACTACTCAAGTAGAGGGTGACTGTAAGGCAAGCATGGCCAATCCCCTTATTGACCATAAAGAGACTGAGACCCCCAAAATGTGAAGTGACTTGCTCAAGATCACACAGAGTGTGAGTGACAGAGATGGGGTGAGAAGTGCGTCTCCTGACCTCCTTCCAGTACTCTGTGCACGGCTCTCATCTGCATAATCATATCTCCTTGATTCTTTCATAGCCCCTTGAAGCAGGTGCCTTAAGATTCTATCTCTCTGCTGACTCCTCTGCCCATTTCCAGCCATGATGCATGATCTCTGCTAAGAGATCATCATAACATTCCAATCATTACTTTCTCATCACACTGAGACCACCTGCTAGCTTGAACAGTACCACCATCCCCCTACCTCCTGCTTTCTGGAAGCTTCTGCTGCTGATCTTCTATTCCTGTAACTAACCCTGTTGTGCTAGCCTTTGATATCAGCACCATGTTATATTCTTTTTCTTCCCCATCTTCAGCCTGAAGGAGTCAACCCCACTCCCAGGCACTAACCCTGCCTTTGTTCCTGCATGGTCTCTGCCAACAAACCTTCCCTTTCTATCCCGATTGTCAGCTTCTATTTCCAGATTGGGGAAACTGCTTTCTGCTTCTCACACCCATAGTGTCAGCTTGAGTGGCCTGCCCACTTGTGTATGTTCCCTCATTGCTTAATGGGAGAGGCTATTAAGCCTGCTGGTATCCATATGGTCCAAACAGCCCTAAGGTCTTGTGATTCTAGTGTTCGTCTGGCCTGATCTCCTTATTTTATTCCCCTAGGTCTATATGGTTGTCATCATGACCTTTGCACCCAGAAGAAATGTCTCCTGGGGGGGGAATATATATATATATATATATATTATAAAATATGTATATATTATTATATATATATCAGCATGCTGAAATGTCTCCTGGGGGGGGGGAATATATATATATATATATATATATATATATATATATATTATAAAATATGTATATATTATTATATATATATCAGCATG